AATAAGCATTCAAAAAATGCATTTATAGTCGGTCATATTTGCTTGTTATAATTCATTTTGAAAAAAATATCAATTAAATTTTTTGAAATACATATACTTAAGGGGAGTCATACAATAATTCACTCCTCTTTGGCATTTTTGTGGTGTAAATCACAGTTTAAAGGTAATCAACGTTTTCAAAATTGACAACTTTGAGCCCTAAAAAATGTGGAAAAAGTTGTAGAATGAGCCTTTGTATCTAAAAATAGCTTTTTTTTACTATTTTAGCATTTTGGCCCTGTGGGCGAGGTTCGGATCAGAGTTTTACAGGTGGAGACTTCTGGTACGGAGCAAAATCTTAAGGAAGATGCTCTTCGTGGATTGAGCTTTGTGAAATTTTGATATACACCTTTATATCAGTTTTATTATTCGATATTTGCTCAAAAACATCAATTAATTTTCTTATTTTTTACTTTTTTCACATCTGCTGCCGTACAAACTTTTTATAACTGTAATTAACATTCCACAAAACTCAATCCATGAAGCGCGTCCTCCTGAAGATTTTTCTCCTTACCAGAAGTCTAATTTGAATCTTTCGCAAAGTGCCAAAATGCTAAAATAGCAAAAAAAAGCTATTTTTAGATGCAAAGGCCTATTCTACAACTTTTTCCTTATCTTTTAGGGCTAAAAGTTTTTAATTTTGTGTTCAAAATGTGGATTAATTTTAAAATGTGATTTATATCACAAAAATGCCAAAGAGGAGTGAATTGGTGTATGACTCCCCTTAAATTTAAAAGGCTGAAAAAATTCTTCGAAGAAAATGACGACGAATTAGAATTTTAAACTTGTTAAAATATTGTAAAAAAATTTATAAACGGATAAATCGGTACATGATTGTAAACAATATGATCACGAACAATTTTGACATCGTCCCTCGAATCCTGGTCATGTTTGTAATAATAACAGATTAGTCTGAAGGTAGTCTTTTCCGACCAAACAAGTCGTAATACCAAAAGATAAATTTTACGTATTCGATTTCCGTGGCACCAAAATGAGAACAAATCCAAGGAACTTATCTCAAAGGATAATTTAAGTGAACACGACATTGTTTCAAACGACAAATAATACGTTAGTAATATTTTTCAGAGGGCATTAATACTAGAATCAAACATGATGACACACCGAGACACAATTCACAACGAACGAAAAGATTTCACATGTGACAAGTGCGAACAAAAATTTGAGTTCCGAAGTCATCTGAGTAGACACCAAATATTAGTACACAAAGACCGCAAAGATTTTGCATGCGATAGGTGCGAGAAAAAATTTGTGAAAAAATCGACTTTGCTTACGCACCAAAAATTAGTACATAAAGATCTCGAATATTTCACATGCAACAAATGCGAGAGGAAATTTGAAAATAAATCAACATTACTTAAGCACAATAAAATATTCCACGAAGTTTTCAAATATTACTTATGTGAAAAGTGCGCGACGAGATTTGGAAATAAACGTAGTTTGCTATCACACATAAAGACATTACATGACGATCGCAAAGTATACCAATGTAACAAGAGTGAGAAAAAATTTGAACTGAAATCGAATTTATTTGAGCATCAAAAGGCAGTACACGGAGTCGTCGAAGATTACTTATGTGAAAAGTGCTTCAAGAGATTTGCAAATAAGCAGAGTTTGCTGTTGCACATAAAAACAGTTCATCAGGATCACAAAGATTTCTTATGCGACAAATGCGGGGAGAAATTTAAAAAAAAAACTTATTTACTCTTCCACCTGAAGACAGTACACGGAGTCTTCGAAGATTATTTATGTGATAATTGCGGGAAAAAATTTGGAAGCAGAGAGAGTTTGCTCTCGCACATGATAACAATTCATGAGGGTCGCAAAGATTACGCATGTGATAGGTGCGAGAAAAGATTTGGGGATCGGAACAATTTGAGAAGACATAAAAATATAGTCCATGAAAATCAAAAAGATTATGAATGCGACAAATGTAAGAAGAAATTTGGACTCAAACATAATTTACTCTGCCACCAAAATACAGTACATCAAAGTTGCAAAAATTACGCATGCGATAAATGTGATAAAAAATATAAAAAAAAAAGTAATTTGCTTATTCACCAAAAGTTAGTACATGAAAATCGCAGGGATTATGTATGTGACAAGTGCGAGAAGAAATATGTAAATAAACATACTATGTTCCTCCATAAAAGGACAGTGCACGAAGGTCGCAAAGATTACCCGTGTAACAAGTGCAAACTGAAATTTGGACAAAAAGGGAATTTACTCTCTCACCAAAAGATAGTCCACGAAGGTCACAAAGATTACGCATGTGATAAATGTGAAAAAAAATTTGGACGAAAAACAGATTTGTTAAGGCACCAGATGATAGTCCACGAAGGTCACAAAGATTACGCATGTGATACATGTGAAAAGAAATTTGGACGAAAACCAGATTTGCTAAAGCACCAAATGACAGTCCACGAAGGTCGCAAAGATTACGCATGTGATAAATGTGAAAAGAAATTTGGTCATAAACAAACATTGCTCCTCCATCAAAGGACTGTCCACGAAGGTCGCAGAGATTACGCATGTGATAAATGCGAGAAAAAATTTGGACTAAAAGGGAATTTGTTTTTACACCAAAGGACCGTACATGAAGGCCGGAAGGATTTCACATGCGATATATGCGAGGAGAAATTCGGACAAAAATCGCATTTGCTCTCCCACCAAAAGACAGTCCATGAAGGTAGCAGAGATTTCGGATGTGATGATTGAGAGCATAATTTTGGTGATCTGAGAAATTTGAAACGGCACCGAAAAACATAGTTCACGAAGGTAAAACTTCAGGTCGGTACCACTTCAGCAAGTCTTATATTTTACGACTTTACCAAAAAATGTGAAGTTTCTGTAATGGTGAATACTAGAAGTAAATACTAGAATATATTGACTCTCGGAAAATTTTGGATTAAGTTCACTAAAGTTTCATTGAAACTAATTTTTATACATACTTAGACAATATGTTACATAATTAACTATGAAATAATCTTGTTATATCTTAAAATCAAATGTGAATATCTTGCGTTGGTGTGGAGATTTTAAGCGCTTTTTTCTCATAGTCACGTATAATTATGCGCAATTGTATCTAATCTTACGTCAGATGATATTTATTTTTGTCATGAATAATTTACTGGTTATAAATGAACGATTTAGACTTATTGCAGAATAACATACATGTAATAACTGAAATAATGGAAAACATTGATTTTTTTCTTGGCAGTTGTAAATATACGTGTATATAAAAACTTATATAGATGTTTATGTACAAGTTTTTTTCAAATTTTAATAAAAATTTTGCCAATATGATTGTGTATTATCAGAATTCTATGCTATCAACTATGATTAGTAGGGCTGTGCGAGTACCCGAGTTTTTGAGTTGGAGTTGAGTCGGGAAAATTTAAGTACTCGAGTTTCTTTCGAGTACTCGAGTTTTTCGAGTTTTAAGTAAATAAATGGTACATTAACAGTCTCTAAATCACTTCCCTTTGTGTGTCCGACGTACGTGCCTATATACGTGTGATGAAGTGTGGTGCTATTGAATTATTTTCTTTTTTCAATTCAATTCACTGCGAATATCACACTTATAAGCATGTACACACAAAGGGAGGTGGTCTAGAGACTGTGAATTCATAATTTATTTACTTAAAACTTAAATATATTGCGAGTACCCCAAAAAACTCGAGTCCTAATAAAAATCGAGTACTCGACTCGAACTCGAGAAAAAAACTCAAACTCGACGAGTCGAGTTTTTTCGAGTACTCGCACAGCCCTAATGATCATATAATATTAAATATTAATGCTACGAACCAGAAAAAATTTCGCGTACTGTTAATTATTACTCTCCGTGCTTACTTTTGGTAACTTATTTTCTGCAGTTTTTTATGCAATGATTAACCGAGAATTTTTCATGTTTTGTTTGGAGCTGTGAATAAGGCGAGATTCGGGCGAGGTTCATTTTTTGCTCAAAATGTGCGTTGAAAAATCATTCCAATTCGTGCCAAATTATCAATTTTTATTTTTTTTACTTTTCCTTCTTTTAATCACTAGCCAAGAGTATAAGTTTTGAGAAATATGTGAAATTTTTGGTTTCCAATGATCCTGTCAGGAAATATCCTGCCTACCACAGGACAACAGGATGACCGAGTAAACCTGATGGAAAATGAACAATTTTCAATATCTTCATCTGAAATTTTTTTGCAGTTTCTTTAATCGATGAACGTCATTTTGTAAAAATTTCAAATCGATTGAACTTTTGGGTTTTAAAATATAATTTTTCAAAAAAAAAAAAAATTTTCCTTAACTGTGTTTATTTTTTACTAAATCTCTTTTATAGTATAATATATTAGATAACAAGGAAAATTGAGAATCGTACCCAAGATATCCTAGCGCAGCGATTGTGGATACTATATTTTTTTCACGGGGTCCTAAAATGATATGATGCATTGCGGGTGTTTGCATGGTAGTGACTGGCTCGTTGTTAAAAGTGGTTTATACTGCTAAAAAAATCGTAGCAATGATGTAATTAATTATATAATGTATTATGTAAAGGGGGTAAATTTGTGGAAAATAATAAAATATCAAGTGTTTGAAAAATGAAATGAATTTTAATTTTTTTTTCGTATATATATATTATATCAACCTATATTTTATCAATTCTATTATGTACAACATTTAGATAATAAGTATATAACATCACATAGCTTGAGTTTTAAGTACAATGATATTTATATGTTAGATTTCTAAGTTTCACATTTTTACTGTTGCTAAAACTAGTATCATCGAGAATCATATTTACAAATTTTGTCACATTCAAGCACATTATGCATTATCACACACTTGAACAGCAAGTTGCAACTTTTGCTACATTCTCTAATATATGTACAAGATATGTTTTAAGTGTATTTTAACATGATTAGAGCTGTCCTAAAATACTCGATGGTGCTCCTAATTATACTTGTATTTTTAAGACGGATTTATTTACAATAGGCGTCATATTCTATTTGTCATATTTTTATTACAAAGTACTTTCTGAGTCTACGTTCGTTGATTTTTGTAGATAACAATAATTAAGCTGGTCAATGTTCGGTCAAGTATTTACACGTGCATATGCTAATGATGATAAGATGTAAGTGTAAAAACAAGTTGAATCATAATGCAAAGATATTGAAGTGAAAGGTTTTTCATCGATATTTGGATGGAATGTCTTTATCTAATTGCGGTGGATTAACAGATGGGATCGGCGAGTGGCTGAGGTGGTCCATACGGCGAAGCCCATTGGCTCACTGCAGGGTGCGTCAGCGACGCTTGAGCCGCCTGAGCCTCGAGGCTAGGAACCGAGGCTCCGGAACTGTGATTCGTCACCGAGTTTGGATAGCCGACCTTGCCAAGGGCCTCGGCTTGTAGCGACAGCATCAGACGATTCGCAGCTTGCCTCTCCGCTTCGCGCTCCTCGGCCGTTTGACGTCTGAAAACAGCAAAAAAAGTGCACATTTGAAATTCACGTTAAATTGGAGCAATTCGAGCAGATCGACAAACTTTTGACACGTTTCAATGCAGCTCTTTATTTGTTACAAAGGGTATCTGGTAGAGTAAGTCAATTTGAAGATGGAAAAGAAAAAGAAGAGTAATGGTTGGAAGCAGGGGCAGGTCCGCGTCAGCTCCGAGGCGTCGTTTGGGCGCGTGCGACGAAGCAGACTGCGTGTGACACGGCTGGCGCAGATCTTGCGTGTAAGGTTGAAAAACAGCCAACTCAAGAGCGAGAGAGAGAGAAAGAGTAATAGGACAAGTAGCTGCGCACATGCGAGAGGCGCAACTACTGCAGGGGGGACGCGAAAAAACAAGACAAACGTAATAAAGTTAATCGGATTCGTCGTGGTGCCATCACTCGGCAGCATAAAAGCCACGTAGCGCTGCGGCAACGAGCCGAGGCTGAGTCGTGACTGGCGGCCGCGTCTGTTTTCTAGCACTGCTCCCCGAGTCAAGTTCATTAGAGGATTAAAACGAGTCTACGCGCTCGTGGTGTATAAGACCAAGAGCACGTCCTTATTGTCAATTGATTAGGCTGTCTCGGGCTCGCAATTCTTCCGTTTTGTACTTTCGGTCGAGCAACAAACTTGATGAGCCATTAGGATAAAGCTCCCGCCTGCTCCGCAGCCACGTCCCGAAGTGATAAAATTCAACTTTGCCAGCTAATTTGATGGAAGGATCGAAACCACTCACTCGAAGCATAAAACAGCAGATCAGAGACGACGACGACGATGAAGGGGACTCGGAAAATGTAATCGTTCCGACGCGCTCAATTATTAAGGGCTAAGCGCGTTAATTACTCTTGAAGCTGGCGGAGCTTCGAGACTAGCTGCTAGACTTTGTTTAGCTTATCTACGGCCAAGTCCTGGCGCATTGACTAATAACAGCGTCGCGGCAAGAAGAATATCAGCTAGTAAAACAAAGAGCGCAGGCCACCGGTCTTGCCTCGCTCCGAGAAACCAGTTTTCAGCCAACGAGCCATTTAATAAATCCGCACTTCTCGCGTCCACGCGATTCCTCAATTTCGCAATTCGCAGGAAGGACGATTGTTTTTCGCCTTGTAATTATCCTCGATGAGCACGTGTGTAGCAGGCTTACGTAAGGGCCGCGTCGAAATTCGATCGAAGCCGAGAAGCGAGAAAAGTTGAAAGGAGCTGTATAGCGCGCAAAACAAAGTAGGAAGCGAAGAAACGTTTAATTATAGCGGAGCTGCTGCTGCTGCTGCTGCTGCTGTTGGCGGCGCGATAGATTATGGCCCTAATGGAACGTCGCTGTTTTGCTTTTTCGCTCCTCTTCGTCCTTGCCGCGGCGCTGTTTTATTTGTTTTGTCCGAATGCGGCGATATAGAGTCGGTGCGCAGTTGCATTTTAAAAATTGCTCGAGCCGATATCGATTTGCAGTCAAGACGACGACGACGACGGCAGCGGGGCAGAGAAAATGTGCAATTCGGCCTTCATGCCAGAATGATGGGACACGCTCGCGTCGTATCGGTGAGCTTTCGAGTGTTCATGAAACGGCGCGGAATATCAGTTGTAGGCGCGCGCGCGCGGGCCCCGGTAAAGTCAATGTATGTGTCGAACATTTATGCGCGCGGGCGTGGTGTTGTACACGAAGCTCGCTTGAATATTTCAAACGAACGAAAGTATGGGGAAAGGGAGAGAGGGATCGAGTCGATTTTGCATCGCGTTATATACGTGCTATACGTAACAGAGCCGGAGATCGAAGCGGCGGCAGCAGCCATTGAATTGGAATCCGTTTGACAGTTTAAAAGCCAAGAAGCGAGCCAGCGAGAGAGGAAAGGGAGTTTGCTACTGTGTGTAGAGCGCCCTGAGTAGCAGCGGCAGCGGCACTGCACAGACAGCCCGAGAGCCAAGTAGTGCCGAGTGCCGAGTGCCGAGTAGGAGGAGGCCATGTTAGCCGTGCGGCGTGCAGCAGGCAGCAGGCAACTTGCTCCCAGCACACACAAACACACACACACACGTATAACACGTATACGATACGTATGTTCGCGAGCGAGTGTGCATTATGTACGGGACAGGGCTAAGCTGTTAGCCGACTGAATTATTGACGGCGCCGAGTTTATCTCGCCGAGTCGACTCCCGCTCGAAGCTGCCGTGAGCCAGCTCCTATATATGCTTCGCTATATGCTCCGCAGCGGAGCTCGACTCGATCTCTACCTATACCTATGTATATAGCCTGCACCGCATCTATCGCTAACTTTGCTATTGAGGCCCATACCTCTCATATTCGGAGCAACTTTTCTAGCGATCCGAGTGCAAACAAAGGCCGTCTTGGAGGAGCAAAGCTGGTACGCAGAGCTACTCGTGCTAGTTCGAGCTGTGCTCGGCCGCTCGAAATTCAATGGCTATCTAAATGCGAGCGCGAGTGCGCCTTTTCGTCTCTTATCGCGCCGCCGCTATATAAAGGAGAGCCGAGAGAACGAGAGCGAGAGAGAGAAAAGAGCCAGTTTTCGGCACGCTATTATATCGACGTATACTCAACATTTATTCCGCAGTCGATCGTGCAGTCGAGGATAACGAGTGCCACTACGGCGACTATATATACGCGACTCGAGGCAAAAGTCCGCATGGCAAAAGCGCGCCGGCTATTAACATTCCACCACCGCCTGCATATTAAGTCTTTGCCGCTTTATAAGCTTATTTATGCCTTAATGAGACGATCGTTTAGCACTTGTTTTCCAGCTTACAGCTGCTATATACAGTCTCTCTGCCCGTCTCTCTATTGAGATGTTCGCAGAAATGCTTATTGCATCTGTCACTGTACAGTCGCGTCGTCGTCGCGAGAATTATGCAAAACGCCGATAATCGCCAGTAACGCGCCTCTATAGGCCTTTTAACGAAATCTCGCCCCGAGTCCCACTCGAATTGCGCGTGGAATCGCGCGCACACGCCTTATCGCGGCCGCGTACTCTCTCGCTCCGGGACGCGGCGGATACATTTGCCAACCCAGAGAACTGCCGAGTGCTCAACGTCGCTATAGAGCTTCCGTATACATTACGTCGTCGATGCGACGATGGCTGAACCAAACTCGTGCTTCAGAGGAAGAAGGAAAGGTTTTTATACTCGACTTACCTCCACTTTGTACGGCGATTCTGAAACCAGGTTTTCACCTGGGCGTCGGTCATCTTGAGGGATTTGGCCAGAGCGGCCCTCTCGGCCGAGGCCAGGTACTTTTGCTTGTGAAATCGCTTCTCCAGTTCGGCTATTTGTAACCTCGTAAAGCTCGTACGTGGCTTCTTTCGCTTGGGCGGCGTTCGATTTTGATACGGATGGCCTATCCGTCTGGGGAAGCTGCCCGCCACTGAAACATGTCGGCAAAAAGCATCGGTGAAAATCGTGCAAAATTTTCCCTCGCCATTTCCAGCGAGTTATTTCGTTGTTCGTTGACTTTATCGGCCAGCATCGTATATATGTACCGTACCCGTACCGTGGCCGGCAGTATATTGGCCGTATTTATTGCGAATCGAATGCGCGTCTAGTGCATTAGTATATGTAAGCGATCTCGCCGTCGGATACCGAGAGCCTCTCAGCGCTAATGGCTCCGCAGCTCGCACGAGTGGAGTCTTATTATTGAGCAGCAGCTTATAAGTAGTATATAGTATATACTTGCGCGCGCGCGGGCGAGAATATAAAGCTCGAGGATCTCTATATAAAGCGGGGGATTGCGCATGCGTGCCTGTATGCATTATACGCTCGCACTTGGCACTGTGCGAGTTTGTGACGCCGAGCGGACCGACTCCCGCGACCAATTGCTGTAAATAATCTAATTTGAAGTTTATTCAAGAATTAAGCATGGCTTTACGACCAGTCGAGCTTTATCTTTATTCAAGTAATTTCAATGCTATCCAAAGTGATCGTTTAAATAAGCGTATAAAAGCACTTGGAGCTGACGGGCTAAACGTCGATGAAATCGCATAACGTACTGTAATGGAGCTGCGACAAGTCGCTTTATTATATTATTACGATATATATAGGCGAGTGGCATGCGCGCGTCGTCTTGCCAAGAGCTCAATTACAACGTTTCCATTGGCTCGCGCCATGCCTTATTTACGATTGAAAAGTTTTTGTCTCGAGCTGAGCACTGTGCTATACACGAGCGAGCGATATTTGCGCAATGGAAAACTGGCGTTGTCGCGCGCGCGTCCAAGGCCGAACGACGTAGTGCAGCCAGTACGATTGCGACGGGCAGTTTAGTCACTCGGTCATTCGCGAGCGATTTAATTTGCTCTCGCCGCCGCATAAAAGACACAATTTTTTTTCTTCCGCTGCTCGCGCTGCGCGGCTCAATTTTCGCGTCCACCTTTATCGTCTTTCCTCTTAAGCAACGGATATAATGCATTTTTATTGCGCTCCATCTCGTTGTGCATTATTAAATTAAACGATTTTATCTCGTCGGCCAAATTGCGACTATCTGCGGCGCGTTGAAAAGCAACAAAAACATGGCCAAACACCGCTTGTGCAACTCCAAGTATCGATCGACGTTGCCTCGAGCCTGCCACGCTTAATATTCCTGAATATAGTACGGAGCTATGGTATATATAAGGTAAGCCTGTGCCACGAGGGCAGGCTGGGAAAGAAATTAGCGAGGGACGCCGGAGGAAATTTACATCGGCCATGATCGTTATTAAGCTGATAATCGCCCGGCTCGTCGTCGTGTAGACGTGTTACGCGTCCCCCACTATGTGCGCGCTCAACCCCGTCGACGCAGCCGAGTCCGTTTGGATCGACCTTTCGGCGAATTTTCGCTCCTTGCTCGCGACTCAACGCTATTGTGCGTGGCATGGCACAATCGGCTAATTCTGACCCATTTGTCGAGTATGTCGTCGTTGGTTTTTCTCGTGCACAGCGCATCGTGCGTTACATACAAGCTCAGCCGTAACGAGCCACTGGTGTGGTTCTTTGGCTGCGAAACGATTTTGCGGTCGACGTGTCGAGCGAGCCAAACTTGGCGGCCGACTGATTTCGACATTTTTTGGCAGAACGAGCGAAACTAACGTTTCTTCGGCTAAAGGCTGTAAAATTTCGCCCGCTCTAACCTTTTCACTAGCTCTTCGGCGCGTCACTCATCTCTTATTTCTGCGAATCTAAGCTTACGAGTTTCGACTCGGACAGAGAGCAGCGATTCTTTTTCGCGCACGATAACGCTGGAAATTGGCGTATTTTATCTTAGCGCGATTACAATTGGCCTCCACTCGAGTTGACTTTTATAGCAGTAGGTCGGCAATTAGTTTGCGAAACTTTTCAGCGCGCTCGAGAATTCGCAGTCCCATAGCCCGACGATTTCGCGGATTTTCACACGATTGAAATTTGGTCGATTGCGAATTATTTTGGTGACGATGATGGGCGGCCACCGCAGTACTCGATGCGCGCAAAGTTTACTCGCAGAGCCCGCAACGCCTCACGAGTCTCGGCGATTTCTCGAAGCAACTCGTTCCCCCGCACGCTGGAATACATTTTTCAATATTCGTGGTCTGATTTCGACGAGGATGGATTTCAAAGTGCACTTGCTGCTGCTGCTCGAGAACGAGTCGGGGCCTGCTCGCGATCGTGGTGGAGAAACGGCTCGCGTTATAATACGAGGAACAGCAGTAAACAATGTAAGTGCCTCGTAAAACGTCTAAAGTGAAGTGTTTCAGAGCTCAAGTATCGGTCATTTCGCAGCTACGTTTATCCATTACTCGGAAAGGCTCTATAATCTTTTTTTTTTTTTCGTTCAAAAATTATTCCGCTCGGTCGTCGCGACCGACCGAATACGCGTGCACAGCTCCAACGACGTAATAATTTAATCATATCGTGGGCGACTCGAGGTACAATTGTCTATCTCCATGCAGGATTAAACATTGACAGCTGGAAAATTCATCGGATCGAGTCCGATGTAGGCGTTTGTCGCGCTTACTTCTGCGCTCGCTCCGACGTGTTCAACACGCACAGGGAACAATTTGTCGTCAAAGAGCCTCCCCAGCCGGCTGTAATGAAAAAGAAATTTGCGAGACTCGAGAGCGAGCGAGTTGGTTCATTAATAAAACAGAGGACGACGGGGCGGTTGCCGTGAGCGTCGCGTCGAGGCCGCCCCTGCCGGTTAACGAACGCCAGCACGGCGCAATTCTTAGGCTATGCGGGATCGCGACGTCGCGCGTCGAGGGTCTACCTCGAGAGTCGGAGAGCACAGCGAAGCCGAGAGAGAGACGAGCGCGATTCACGCCCGTGCTTGATATTTCTGCTGGGAAATCAGTAAGTGTTTTTAATGCGCCGTCGAGCTCCGACATTATAAGCCTCTTTATGCTAGGGGCCAGCTTAATTGTAAAAAGAAGGTGCGAACCTTGCCACTTGGATATAGGCACTCCAAGTAAGAAGATGCAACTTTTATGAGCGAGGCTACGCGAACGCGCTGCAAAATTAAAGAATCATCCCGAGGAAATTGTCTTGGCAGCTAGGCTCGCGACGCTCCGCAGTTGCGCCACGCTCTAACGAGCTCTGTGCAGTGCCTGACCCACTGAGCTTGTGTAGCATAACCTTTGCCGTCGGCCGCGCGCTACTGTCAATTATGACTCAACATTGAAATATCATCTCGCAGAAGTTGACGCAATCCTATTAAAAGCGGCGAATCCCATCTCATTCTCTCTCTCTATCTCTCTATGCAGTAGCAGCAGCAGCACGAGCTCGGGCCTGCAGCGCCGCGAGAGAAAGTCATTATTATTTGGCCGCGCGTCTACACGTTAATGGGCTGCAGCCTTCAAAGTAAATTGTCTTACCGCCGTAACTAGGCGTGCGGCTGGGGAGCCGTGCGTTCCCCATGTTCTACGTTTTATGCGCATGCAAATCCTATGCAAGTCGAATAGCAACTGTTTTTCGCTCGGTGCTCCGGGCTTCTGATGTCGTGTTTCGGAGCGAGTCTCGCTCTTGCTTCGGCTGCGTCGCTGTCTCTCTCTCTCTCTCTCTCGCGCCTCTCGAGTAATTGCCGAGGAAAGTCACATTTAATTGTGGTTGCGGTCGATGATCATGTCCTCGGCTTTATCGCGCTCGCAACGGATTATCAGCCGAAAACGCGAACCACACCTACTTTACTCCACTCGACTCTAGGCGGATTCGCGAGTCGCGAGAGATACGCGCCAAGGCACGTCATTGGCCAAGGGAGAACTGTAGCAGCAGCTCGGTTCTCGCGAGCAGTCGTAATCGTCTTGGCAGCTGTTGGCCTCGGCGGTGCCTTGGCGAGCTCCGAAGAAATTTGAATTCCACTCGCTCGGGCGTATATTTCTCGTCGCGCATAAAAGTGCCACCCCACGGGCTGCTGGCGTCGTACCTACCTACCGTACGAGCGGCTTGCTATCATTTCTCAAACTCATAACTTGTTACACGTGTAGCTGCTGCTTGAGATACCGTGTACGGAAGAGGCTGCTCCGGCCGAGGGGTGAAAAACGCCGAGCCGCGCGCAGCGAGCTTGCATTATCGATATTACGAGGCGTCGATAAAAAAATCCCATAATATTAAGCAAAGCCGTGCGAGTGAGCCGAGCAAGAGCTCGAGAGTGAGAGACGCGTAAAAAAGCTCCGTCTATGAGGCGAGCTTCATATTTACGAGATTCAGCCCTCGCCGGCGAGCTGCCACTCGCTAAGCTGACTTTACTGCGACACCCTCCCAGCTATTTTATCCTCGAGGAGACAAATACGCGCCGAGGCTTGAATTATTTCGGCGATTTGTTGTTTGCGATGATCGTCGGACGCTGCTGTGTCGAACGAATCGTTCTGCAACGCATCGTCCTTGTAATTTACACGTTTTACCGTTTGTCGATGGCCAGCCGCATGTTTTTTTTGGCGCTGTTTAATTGACTCGGATCGTTTGGCAGCTCGAGCTCGACAAAAAGAGTCAATCGAATAAACGCGAAAACAAGCTGGATAATCGAAGAGATTGACAGCGAACTTTATTTCGATGCAGGATAGCAAAGTGCGAATGTAGGCATGTTTTATTTAGGTAAATTTGTCGAGGTGTAAGCCGCATCGCGCTCGGCTGTCAATAATCACGCGGCGCGAATTATTTCGTAATACGCTCGCTGCTCGGCGCGAGATTATTAGGGTCGCGCATTACAGCCAACTATATAGCGACTCATTGGAATATACATGCGGTTTTATGCGCGGAATCCGTCGAATAATTGGATACGGCTGCTCGCGCTAATCGGCCGAATAGGGCAGATTGAATTTATTCATCATTTTGCGAAGCTGTCTATATGGCGTCATTACGACAGCTGTGTACGTGAGCTATACGTATAGACTGCAGACGCGCATCGAGCTTTTCCGAGTGCAAATGACTTATTAGCTTATGGAATATATCTCGTTGCGAGATCTAAGAAGGCATATTATGTACGGCAATTGGCATCGAATCGCTCGCTCCTTTTCATAATTCATAAATACGATGCCGTGCATGCCAAAGATCATGAATGATTCATCGCGCCACGCGCTATAACAGCTATCATGGAATATCGCATAAAGCTGCCAAAGGATGCCCAGTAGCTACGGGCGTTTTCTTTTCTGTAGTTGCAGTTTTTCTGTTATATACTTGTAGCTGTTTCTCCGCGTTATTGGAAAGCGCCTGTATACAGTATATATTTGTTGTTGCGTGGCGCGCGCGTTCATTTGCGATTAAATTGCTCAGCTCGGCGTGAAGCGCGCAAATACGATCCATATTTTATCAAAGCGAGGGTACGGGTACTTTGTTGGCTCTGTACAGCAGTAGGCACGTGTGGAGTAATCGTCGAGAGGAAAATTAAACCGAAGTCGGGTTAATTACGTAAGTCGCCACACACGTTGTTGCCGACTCGGTTCCTATACAGAGCCAGCCAAAGCACACGAGCTGCGCCCGCCGAAGCTACACCTAGGTATATAAGGCAACTTCAACGACTGTACTCGAGCTGTTGTATAGAGGAGCGAATTATATACGGCAAACGTCGGAGGCGAGAGGAGCGATGATGGACGAGCTGAATCCCCAACTCGCTGCTAACTCGATCAGTCGACGCCGCTGTTTGCCGCTATAACAGGCGCTCCACGATTCGCCCGAATTAATTCCACCTACGCGAGCCGAGCGCCTAATTACAATTGCCTAATTGGCCTTTCGCACGTGCGCCAGTTCTGGCAATTTTTTTACTGCGCAGCTCTCCTTTCTCCGCAGCTCGTTGTCGGGGAATTGCTTGGCTGCTGCTGCTGCTGGCTCGCAATGCAAACGAGTCGAAGCGATTGTGCAGTTGCCAGCTGTCGAGAGGCCATATCAATTTCGGAAAAAAAGCATTCCTCCAGCCGCAACTCGGGCTCGAGGCGCAAAAAACAAACAATGAGCCTGCAGGTGCCAAGTGCAATTGCGATATAGAACGTCTTTTTTTTCAGCCGGCCGACACGTCCATAGCCGCTACTCGGGGCCTTACGATCCAGCAAACAGCCGCATATACAAGTATTTCTCTCGCACACCGATTCTCTGAAAACATCGATATATATTATATGCGCGGCAATTGCTAACTCTGTACTCGTGTATGATGCCCAGCGGAAATAGATGATAATTTTCGACGTCGATCGCCGATCCTTAATTGCCAAAGTAAAAAAAAAAAAAAATTGCCAAGTCCTCGCGGTGCGCGCGTCTATTAATACATATAAATAAAAGCGCACGGCTAAACTGTGCGTGTGCGTGCACGCGTACGATGGCAATTAGCAGCTATGCTACACAGGTACGTGGGAAGCGATCGTTTTCGAGCTTCATCGAATTCGCGCGCGCACGTATTAGTCTAGCTAAGACTCGAACTTTACGCGCAGCTACTTAAAACTTGGTGGCAAGTCCTTAGAGGCGATTCGCCAACTCGAGGCCCTAATTCCGTTGCTGCGGATATATTTGTGTATTGTACACACACGAGCACGATGAATGTGCGCGCGGCCCGACAACACGCATCGACAGCACTTGATGAGCTCGCGTATATGGTAGTTAGACTCGAGCATTATGTACGACCGAGTCCGAGTCCAGTCCGAGCGGGGCCGCGTATAGCTTACTTTTTGGGCCTTTTTCAGATTTTGGTCACGCGATGAATTTTTGCTCTCTTCTCGGTACTCGCGCGCGCGCTCGAGTGCTCCGGCCTGCGCAGGTACAGCTCGCACGGCCCTCGAGGCTCTTTGCTTACTACTTTTTTTTCCTCCTTTCCTCTTAGCATCTTCCGTACGTAGACTTGCTTGCTTTAATTTTTGGGCCCTGTAAACACGTAAATACAGAGAGAGAGAGAAAGAGAGAAAGAGCGAGTTAAAAGAGAGGCGAGTTACCTCGCCAGCAGCTTTGGCTTTGCACTCGTTGATTCCGTCATTCGCTTGAATAATATCGCGCCTAATCTTTCTCTTGCCAGCACTCGGTAACGAATGCAAAGTGCCGTTCAACTCCGAGAATCGTCAGTTCGCTGAAAGAGTAACAAAAAAAGGAAAAAAACAGAAGTAAAAAAAAAGAAGAAAAAGAAAAGGAGTAGCAGTTATAGGTAGCACGACGAGGCGTGCAGAGAAGTGAAGAAATGGCTTTGGCCATTGGCAGCTCAGTAGTGAATGTATATACATGCGCGAGCACGGACGAGCTCGCTAAATTTGTATACAAAAGGCTGCCAACGAATTTTCTCCAGCTCGTAATACAGCCATCATTAAATGTTATCAGATGCTGAAACTTATTCAAAGAGTCGAATTAGCTTTGGCATAGGAACCTCGCCGTATACCACTGGCGGAGCGGGGCCGTTCGAATCTACGATCGCGATAATGACGCCGCAGCGAATATAAGTAGCGACGATAGTAGCAGTTGCCTTTTTTTTTTACGCGGAAACAGCGGGATTGCATATATACTCGCACACATACGCGCGTGCGCCGTGTTTACGTACAAATGCATAAAAAGCCAGCTAGAGTGAGAGAGAGAGAGAGAGAGATGGTTTTGCCAATAGACGCGAGCGCGACTAAAGAAAAGTGGCCCCTTTCCGCGAAAAGCAATAGCCGCTTCCCGTTGCCGCTCTTGCGCTCCTGCAACGTCGCTATTTGCGCACTCCGCAACGCACACGTACCTATATCCTATATATCTATACGTTCCGCTAACCGTTTCTCATCCCTACTTCTCGGCGCGCTCTTGCAGATATCGCGCGCGACTCGGCTCCTATGTACTTCGTCGCCGATAGAGAAAATATCGAGCCGCGAGGAGAGCTCGGTCGATCGATCGATTCGAGCCCGCCGCGCTGCCTTGGCTACCAGATCGAGCCGAGCAGATAACGAGCCGCGATCCACGCACCGGCAATTATCTACCTGCGCCTGAGCCTGAGCTACGAGCCTTATTACGTCACAACCCTTGAACTGCTCCTGCTTAACTGGCCCGCGATTAGTTATGCCTCTCGACTACCGATCACGCACTTGCCAAGCCGAACAAGGGCTGATAAATGACAGGCTACTTCGTACGGCAAGCATTTGTCGACTGTAGCTGCAAGCAGCGGCTTACGACTCGATGCAATGTACAATCAACGAAAAAAGTTACTCACCGGCCAGTCGGTCTTTGAGATGCGGGTGCGCTTGGAGCGGGTGGGCCGCGAGATTCGCCAGGAACCTGGCCGTGTGGAGTCCGGCGTTGGCAGCGGCCGCCGCAGCCGCCTGCTGCTGCTGCTGTTGCTGCTGCTGCTGCATACTCGTCGGCAGACCGCTCCAGGGTGGCAGCAGCGAGCCCTGGGGCCTGTGGGCCGGCACCCTGATCACGCCGTTGGCGTAGAGCAGACTCGAGGCCCCGGGGAAGAGTCTGAAGGGGGCCAGCAGGTCGGCCGGGTGCATGACGGCCGCCGCCGCAGCCGCCGCGGCCATGCTCGCGCTCGCGCCGCTGGACGATCGCTCGGGCCGGGGACTGCTGGGACTGGCCCCGTCCTCGTCGGACTTGTTCGAGTCGGAGTCGTGCTCGTGGCGCCGATCGCCGCTGGCGGCCCAACAGGCGGCGGCCCACTGGGAGGCGGCTCGCTGCTGGGCCTCCATCTCCTCGGCCGAGTCCTTGGCCACGGCCACCAGCTGTCCGCAGCTGTCGGCCAGCAGCCTGCTTATACTGAAGGGGTGCATGCCGCCGCCGGAGCGGCTCGTGGGTGGCGGGGGCTCGCTGCTCTGCTGCAGCTGCTCCTTGGTGCAGGCCTCGTGCTTGAGGGGCGGCGGCGACGAGTCCGAGTGGCCGCCAGTGTTGCCTGGACTGCAGCTGCGCTCCTCGTCGAGCTCGTCGACGTTTATCTCCTCGGTCGCGTCGAGCTCGCTGCTCTCCCCGTGCTCCGACATGGCGACGCGAATTTTAACGACGACAAACTACTGGTCAAACTACTACCCGATCTAGGCCTAGGAACTAAAGACGTCTGGTGGTGCACTTCATCGCGTCACTCGACTTATATGTATATTATATTAAACGTCGCACTGGCTCTCGAGCGAGTCTGCACAGATCCAACAACGATCGAACGGTCGTAACTCGCGCGAGTCGCTCGGCGGAGTCGTCGATAATCAATCAGAGCCGGGGGCAATTATTCGGTCGCACTAGCTCGAGGATCGAGCTCTCGTGTCAGTCGATCATGTCACATACACGCGCGCACTGCCTCAATTCGACAAGGACTTTTTCACGGGCAACAACAACAACAAACAACAACTTGTTAACGCTCGAGTCTGCTTTGGACTGGCGTCTGTCCTGGCCGGCGGTCGAGAGCAGAATCACGTGAAGCAAAGAGAGAGAGAGAAAGAGAAGCGCGTCCGGGAGCGGTGTATAGTTGCAGCTCTCGGCGTGTGCAGTCCGACTCCCCACTCGCGGGGCTCCTTCCTCTCCTCGGCTGGCTGCGCCTTTGAGCGGCGTTCAAGGAGCGAGGCTGGCCCCCCGGATCGTTCGGCCAATGCTCGAGCCCAGGACCACGCCCACCGCTCGTCCCATTGGCTCGGGGACGAGCTCGTGCCCATCGAAGGTATTCGATCCTCGAGGCATGCATGTACACTGCTATATGGCACAGAGCAGCTGCTCCGGCTCGTTTAACCTAAACGCACACGAGCTCGCTACGTTGTACACGCGTAGTACGTGTGTTCGTAATACCTGCCGCTGTATAGCTCGCTCCTACTCTAGCTGGCTCAAAGTAGCTTTAGCCGCGGCGCTTCAACGCCCACCTGCATTATTTATCGCGATTTAGCGAGCTCGTGTTCTCGCGTCGAGTCGCTGCAACGCGACTCCCTTCCTCTGCGCACTGCGAGGACTTGATTACGCGGCCACGACCTTTCGGGCCCACCGTGGAATCTACTTTTGCTACGTTTTTAACGCTCCGCTGCTGCTGCTGCTGCTGCTGCTGCTGTTTTACATGTGTGCCAATAAGTGGCTCGTCGGGCTTAAAATGGTGCCGTTGTTGGGCCCGCCATGCTGAGCTGCACTGGCAGCTCGACATTGTGCTCGCATTATCAGCTCGACGGTCTACTACTCTGGACTACGCTCGACTACTTACGCGTAAATCGCTATACGTGTAGCTGCCATAACAAAGCATCGTGTGCGCGAGCTTAAGCGAAACCGACAATCAGTCGCACGCACTTGGCAGCTTGTTTGTTTGTTCGTTCGTTCGTTTGCCATCTTTTTTAAGCCCTTGCGAGAGTCGCCTCGCGCTTCTTTATTTATACATGCGACTACTCCGCTGCTTGCACAGCTTGATTATGCCAATCAACAAATGGAACTTTTTTTCAGTTTCTCGCCTCTTTTACGGCACTCGGCTAGCTGCGCAGCGAAATTATGCTGGCAGAAAATGTCCACTCTGACGAGGCGATCCCTTGCACCCCTCCCCCTCGAGGTCAGCTCGAGCTCGTATCACTTCGACTGATTTCGAATTCCTTACCTTACAGCTGGAGCACGCATTTACTCGTGCTGTTACAAAGCAAATGTTTGCGTGCAAAAAAGCTCGGCTCGACCGCGAATCGCTCATTGCCTGGCATGCGAGTAATTGGTTGCTCGTCGAGATCTGCCCGCTGCAGTGCACGTTTGTACTCCGCACGTCAATCAATACTCGCAACTACAGCTCGATATTTCGAGCGATCGCTCGAGTTTGTGGATCGCCGAGTCAGCTCGATGCGTAATTTCAAAGAGCTCCGTTGGAAATTTCATTAAATTTATTCGTCGCTCTTACTGGCGCCCGCGCGCGATATCGTCGACGAAAATGCCGTACTGGAGCGAGGCAAATCGAATTGCCTTTCTTATTATATATTTCTCGCGATGTAAGTAGCTACTTGGGGCGTATCTGGCGTTTACGCGGAGGTATGGAGTCGTAGCCGAACGCAACATCTGTAGCTGCGAAAACGCGTATATATTTTTAACGCATTCGCCAACACGCTGAGAACTCGCTGTGTACTACGCGCGTAAAATTCGCACGTATGCTCGAGCCAGGCATAGCGCAGGGGCTCGGCACAAGAGCCACGTTTCTTGCTCTCGATTTGCCGAATTAAAACGTCGAAAATTCCCTGAATAATTCGTAGCTTGGCACGAGTTTTATACCAAACAAGCGGCAACGCGCGGCGAATGCGGAAAATAAATATGTACTAGCTGTAATCGATCGCTCGGCAGGCGAAAGAAAGCAAATACGAAAAGAAAAGGCAAAAGCTGCGCAGTCATGAGTACATCGAGGCGCGATTACTCGATATCGAGCAAAAAAAAAGGCAACTCGGCGCTTCCTGCGCGTCCAACTGCGCTATACGCAATTGCAGAGCATCTCGTTGAGGCAAATGGCTCGTGTAGTCGGGCGGGCTGATGGAGATGAAACAGCGATCGCTCGAGACTCGATCGAATCCATCGGGAGGGCGGCGCGCAGTTTACAGTTTACAGAGCTTGGCTGGGATGTTCGTCGAGCTGCGCCGGGGGGGCTTACAGTTGTCGCAAGTGTCAGATCTATCTCGACGTCACTTAGATCTTTTCACCGGCTGGCGAATAATTCAGGCCTTTTTCTTGCCGCCAACGTTCGCTATCTATCCTTTTTACAGCAATAAGAAAAAGGGAGCTGGAAAAACGAAAAGCAGAGAAAGAGAGAGAAAGAGAGGAGAGAAAAAGCGAGAAAGAAGAAGGCAGCTCCGAAAGCGAAATGGCTGTAGGGTGGCGCGGGTTGACTTGCCCCGGGTTGACCGCTTTGAAAACAACGCGGTGACAGCGCTATCATATTTTATTCAGGTAAACAGCCGAGCCGGAGTGCCGAGCGCGCACAGCAGCCAGCAGCCAACGCAGAGCAGCGCAACCAACAGAGCGCGGCACCTTGAAAAATAATGAGGGAGAGAGAGAGACGAGCAAGGATATTCGAGTTTAACAAAGGTAAATGCGCAGAGACCGAGTGAACCCAGGTCGAGGTTGTTTGCAATTACGCGCAGCAGCGAGGCGACGATTAGTAGCGCTTGGCTCTCTCTCGCAACGATCATCCTCTATTCTCTGCGGCGGCGGAGCTGGCGGCTCTCTCGAGTTGCACTGCAGCTATATAGCAAAGATAGACTGACAGCTGCTAAACGCTAGTCGCGTACTCGTCGCTGGCACGTAGCAGATCCTGCGCTTTTAGGATACTCATCCGTTTGCGCGCGATCGTTTCGGCTGTCACTTTGCATGAGGCTCGCTCGAGGGCGCCCTCGAGGAGGAGCGTGAGGCGCATATAATATAAAGCGCGCCTCGTATATATGTAAGGACGAGAGCGGCTTTAGCGGCCTAAGCCAAGACGCTGGCGCATGATGGAACGCCACTTCAATTTTCCTCGCCCCGGCTTACGCTGCTGGATTTGGCCCAACTGACATAACAATTTCTCCTAAAGCGGATGAAAGCACTTTTCTCGAATTATCGCTCCTTGAGCCTTTGCTATTCGTATACCTACACGCCTCCAGTCCCCCCTGCCCCCGAAGTTCGAGTTTGAATCGCGCGTCGCGATCGATGCATCCGCGCGCGACGCTCATCAAGTATTAACGAGCCGTGTACGTATCTGCTCCTGCACTTGAAATTCCAATCAACGAGTCACGAGGCCCGATCGCCCCGCGCGTACTTAGTAGTCGCGTGTCCCCCGCGTTCTTTTCGCAGCCGATGATCCCGAGCAAAGAAACTGTACTGTACTGCCGCCTGCCACTTGCATCTCTCCGGGGACTGGAGCGCGAGCCCACAGGCCTACGCTGTCCTGACTGATTAGACCCTTGCTGATCGCTCCGATGTCTCTCTCTCTCTCTCTCTCACCCACTTCATCTCGATACAGCCATCTCTATTGTATACGCGTTATAACGTTGTGCGATTGAAAGCTCAGCTTGTTGAACACTGCAGTAGCTCCCCCCGCGCCACCTAAAAGTCCCCATGTATATCCAATTAGACGAAATTGCGAGATACCAATTTTTCTCTCCGAATCATTATACACATTAATACATTCATGGCTCGTGCGATGAACGTATAGCACGTATATACGTATATCAAGTATATGTACGTACGTACCGCGAGCTGACCTCGTCCTTTTTTCGCCACATTCTCATCGTGCCCGTAATAATATTACTTCTCTCTCGTCGGTCGTGCACTCGTAAGCACGCTTTATAATATGTTCCGCTCGATTACGTGCATGTGCATGCGCCTAATAGCGGCTGCAGTCCAATCGGGCTCCAATAAAATGTATGCTCTCGTCGTCGTCGCGCGGAGAAAGGATTAACCTAGATTCGCGTCCGCGTAATATGTGCGAAAGCGCTAACCTCTTCTCCGACCAGCTCGCTTTTACGATATATATTTTATAAACTCCAATCTAGTGTTTACCGCTTTTCATTGGAACGCGCGAGGCTCTCTCCTTCGGATGCTTCTGCTTCGTCTACTTCTTCGTCTTTTTTTCCTTACCTACCTTTTTTTTCGTCCAGCCGATATCGTATGTAAATAAGTTATGCGCAGCCGAGTACTGCTGAGCAAGCCTATAAACCTGAAGAGGCCGCGCCGCAAAGTTTTCCAAACTTCGCCAAAGCAGGAGCGACGTTGTACAATAAGATTCGAGTTTATAAGAGCCGAGGATGGCAAATAAAATGTCAACTGTATTATAGGAAAAGGAGAGCGGCCCGTCGAATTTTCTGAAAACTCCGGGCCGCGCGAGCCAATCCTGACAAGCGGCAGCGGCTGCGCGCGCCAAAAAATTTACCAGGCAAACTTTATCCCCAAGGATTTCGGGATTTCTCGGCCCGACTCTCGCTCGGCTCTACTCAGCCCTCGCAACTTTTAAAGTATAAGCTAAAACATTTAGCGTCGGCGGCGGCGGCAAACTTGGCTTTTGCTCGCGCACCCATGCACCTGTGTGTGAGGATGCATCGCGCGGCAACCCATGAAACTTTCATTCATACGTCGCAGCTAACAACGGGGGAGTGCGGGTGAAAATATTTTGCTCACGGAACAGAGGGGGGGCCACGCCACGTATACAACCCCCAGCCGTACTTTTGATAAATATTGCTCCACTCTGCCTGCGCCTGGTCTGGCCCCGAGTGTATTACACATCATTTTCTTTTACTGCAGAATAAGTCTTTTCATTACAGGATTATATTCCAATCGAAACGCTGAAATTGTTTCTCAAAGCGTTATATTTTTGCCGAGCCAGG